TTAGAAGTTTCCTATGGCAGAAAAAACAAAGATGGGATTGCAGAAGACACAGTGAATCCTGCTGTATATAGTGTATGGATGACAGGGGCCAGGATATGGAATGGGAGCATAAAGACAGCATATGCAAATGCTGTTCTCAACCAAAGAATCATTATCACTGGGAGGGAGGCAACAAAGCTGTGGGCTTATTTGGAAAATAATATCACCTTTAAAAAACAGACATTTAAATGAGTACCCAAGCAGGTGTCTCTCATATAGGCTTCCATATACATATACATACACATACACACACACACACACACACACACACACACATACACACACGTTTTATCTCTTTTTTTTCCTCCTCATCAGCAGCTGTAACCCTGTGGAGATAGTGGCATTTAAAAAGACACAGCAGGTGGTTAATAAAAAGAAACAGTTGAAAGGGATTTAAGCTAAAGCTTCATAAGATGGTAAAGCACTAATGCTTTAGCTTGAGAATGATTCCCAGTTAGAACAGCTGGAAATAGCCTCATTTAACCAGCTGGGATTTTTTTCATCAAAAAACATCAAACAACCTGTAGAAGCCATCTTTGGTTTGTTAAGATTAGTTGGTCCTAAGTGTCATTAGAACTAGCTTTAAAATAAAATATTATTAAGAAGAACTAAAAATAATTTTAGCTATGCATAGAAGATCACACCAAAGTATAAGACTAGATTCGTAAGAAGTCCACTAGTTTTAATCATCCAATATTTTAAACACAAAATCTAGGGGTTTGCACTCCTAAATTGTTTTAAACCCTACATCCTGTGCTCAGCAGAATAAAAATGCACTAGCCTACAATGTCATATTTAATAAAGAGAGCACTCCAGAATTACCCCAATGCCAACACAATTTGCATAAACAAAATATGATTTTCAAAGACTGAAACTTTAAGTAGCTTATCACTTATTTAAAAAATTGTTAAGAGTAAAAACAGAATGAAATAATTCATAGAATAGATGAACACAATATTTAAATTTCCAAGATATCCTCAAAATTTACTATTTAAGTAAATTTTTATATTTAAATTACCCAGTTTTTCAGCACCTTCATTTCATTACTGGCTAACTTCAAAAGAGCATCTGCTCACTTAGAGCTTAGTTTAGGCTCATATTCAGCTAATAAATCTGGGGAACTTATAATTGTCATGCTTTGAATTAAGTCTATAGAGCACAAATAAAGTGCAACAAATCATGCTATTGATATGCTTGCTCTAATCTTGGTGCTATTATTTTCTTTTGGTCCCTAGATGGGGTTAATTGTTTTCCTCCTCCAAACGCCTGGGAAGAAGGCATTGGGGTTACATCCGACAGGTACTATCGCCTTCTTTACATGGGTCAGCAGAGCTGCTTCTTTTCCATCAGCTGGTCCTTATTTGCATCCTCCAGAGGTATGTTAATTTAGAATTGAGCACTAGGCCCACTCTAACTATAAAGAGACCACCCTACAGAATATTAAAAGGTTCAAATCTATGTACGCAATTTAAATGCACATGCATATAATTAACTAGACACATTGCCAGTGTGAGTTGCTAATTTGGAATGAGTCACAAAAGGCTAGAATGTGTGCAGATGAAAAAAACTTTAAAATTAAAATGACTACATAATGAAAACTGCTTCATGCTGTGTCTACTATTTTCATGTAAACTTAATATAACTGTAAATATATTTTAATGAACAGCAGAAAGAGGCAATTACAAAGAGCAAAGGAGGGCAGCACAACAGTGAAACATCATCAGAGTAGCTCTTTGCCTTCATATTAAAAATGCTGCCTGAAGACAGAGGGTGAATTATAAGTTCATAATTTCAGGGGAAACACGTTTTCTATATTAAAGACACCTATTTGCCAACCTGTTTACAATGAAAATGGAACACTAAAGTGAAAACAGGAGGAAATCCTAGCTAACAAACAGAAAAGAGGAAATCCGAGGTTGACATTTTGATGTTAAAATAGTTTTTTCTTCTTTCCTTGAAACAGCTTTGTATTTCCTTATAAGTTTCCCTAGAGTGTGAATGACTTCTGGTTATTTTTAAGCATCAAAAACTGTTATAGGTATCATACCCAAAATATATGTGAAAGTTTAGGAGTCTTCATTTAAGTGCTGTCTATATCTTACAATAATTGAATAGATTTGCAACTATAAAATGAGTGTGATCAATTCCATGACTCAAAAATTTTAGAAAAATAATGCAAGACTGTTGACACTAATAGGTATTTGTTGTGAGTACTATAATTCAGATGACAGGATAAGATGTTAAACATCTGGAAAATATCCGCTGACTATCTTCAGGGCTGAGCCTGTGAGGCACTGGGGGTGGGGAGTGGAAGATGTTTCTGTGAAGCAACTGAAAGTTCTGGCTGTGAAATATCCTGTGAGATCTAATTCTTTAAAGTATAGATTTTGCCAAATATTGGAAGATAAATAATGTATACTATCTTTAAATAAGAATATAAGTCCTATAGCTGGGCATGGTGGCTCATGCCTATAATCCCATCACTTTGGGAGGCCAAGGTGGGTGGATCACTTGAGGTCAGGGGCTCAAGACCAGCCTGGCCAACATGGCAAAACCCCATCTCTACTAAATACAAACATTAGCTGGGCATGGTGGCACATGCCTGTAGTCTTAACTACTGAGGAGGCTGAGGCAGGAGAATTGCTTGGACCCAGGAGGTGGAGGTTGCAGTTAGCTGAGATCACACCACTGCACTAGAACCCGGGTGACTGAGTGAGACTCTGTCTCAAAAAAAAAGAAAGAACATAAAATATATATTTTATATATATTATATATAAATATACATACAAATATATTTTTATATATGTAAAAGAATATATATTAAAAAGGCCTGATTGTGGAAGTCAGAGTCATTAGAACAGTTTTACTTAATGTATGTCTTCTAGTTCACCCATTGAAAAGATCCTACTTTTAAATGTTAAACTTAAACACTTTGGGCTTGGTTAAAAGATGCTGAATAACAGCACCAATTGTCCTTGTTTTATGACTATAAATTCAATTATAACAAACTTACAAATTAAGTGGGACTATGGGATACAAGGCAAACATTTTAAAATCCATTTAAAATGATATGGGTATAGTGTTATTAAGAATTGTAATTACTCGATGCAACTGACTGGCAAAACACGGTGAGCTGCTTGCTTGAGGTGAGTCAAGCAGTGCACACACTTCCAACTCCTAGAAATACTGCCTTTCCAATCAGACTCATCATTTGCATGCAATTTATATTCATAGAATTATGGAATTTTAGAGCATAGAGAGGCTTTATAAATGGCCTAGTATAAGTCTTTTGCTGAAATGAAGACAAGAACTCCATTCCAGATGGGCTGAATAATCCACCCAGGGAATCCAGCAAGTTAGTTCACTGCTCTTTCACTCTACTATGTTGACTTTCAAGTAATAATTTTAGCAAAATAATATATGTAACAATTACTCTACTCAAAATTTCTGTTTTCACTTTCATTTATATTTTTCTTTGAAACTTCTCATTCCCCAATGTGGAAGATTTTTGGTCAATGTATCTTATAGATTTAATTTCAAAATAGTTTATTTAAGAATATTAATAAATATTTTAAAGGGGCCAAAATGAGGTGTTTGTTGTATTCCCTTAACACGAGAACAATGAGCTATGCTTGGCTCATTTTAGATAATTTTTCCTAACAATTAGAATTGAAATAGCATTTAAGTGTCATTTTATTTTCTCACTCATTCCCTTAAACCAAGGTGCAGCAAAAGCAGACTTTAAATCCTTCTAGCTATTTTCAATGAGTCTAATTCAAAGGTAAATATTGGTAGTTTCAGAAGAAATAGTTTTAAAGCATAAAAACCAAAGGATGTGATTTACTGAATAAGATTCAGGAAAACCTGTCACAGAATAATCTTTTAATCCCAGAACTTTATTTACAAAAATTTACTGAAGAGCATAAACGGGAATGTTGATATTGAAGGGTATTCACTGTGATTTGCTGACTCCGTTTTCACATAAACCCAGTCACGTAAGTTGGGTTCCTATGTGATATGTTCCTTTCATCAAATAACTTAAGCCTATTAACAAATGCTTTGATGGTACTTGGTCCATGGAGATTTCCACTAATTGCCCTGTGCTTTTAACAGTTCCAAATTCACATTATATTGTTATTATAAAAATGACAAGAGAGCAGTTGCTGCTTGACTCGCATCAGGCTAATGAAAAATAGGATGCATACAGAAAAGTCCATCAGTCTACATGATTATGTAGGGACAGGACCTCAAAGCAGATTCCTCAATGCAAAGCAAAGCACACCAGTCATTCCGGACTATTAAACGTGTAACAGTGATTCTGGGTCTACTTGAAAAATAAGAAGCTTTAAACCTGTGGCTATTTTCAGAGTTTGGTGATCTTCAAGAATGCCAAAGAACATTAATTAAAAATTAATGTCAGAGTATCAATAATCTAAATTTTCAGACTTTCCTTACAAGCCTTATGCACCTGGACATACTACTGTATAACAATATACATATATTTAATGTATTATATTAATATAATATACATATATTTAATCTAAGATGTTTTATTTTAGATTCAAGGGGAACATGTTACATGGTATATTGTGTAATGCTGGAGTTTGGGCATATTGAACCCATCACTCAAATAGTTAACGTAGTATCCAATTGGTAGTTTTTCAGCTCTTGCTCCCTTCTCTCCCAGCCCCTTTTGGGGTCCTAGTTTCTACTGTTTCCATCTTTATGTCCATGAGACATATATTTATTAAGTCAGTGACAAAGGCTGATAGATATGCTCCATAGCAGACCAAATAACTGTGATAAACCATGATAACCACGTGATGCTAATGAACAAAGTTCTTTCTCTTAAAATATTCTGCCTATTTATTAACCAGATGTGAAATACTTGCACAGATACACTTTGCACCTGTAAAACACATTTACTACACCCTTCTATACTGTAAACCCATTATCCTTACCAGTAACTTCCAGTGGATGAAGGCATATTGCATCCAAAAAGTAACATATGATGGACAGTATCCATGCTGGCTCGAGGCTTGAAGTCAACTGTTACGATAAAATAATACAGGTATGTGAATATAAGTTACACTTCTGTGCACCAAAGTCACAAAATACATATTTGAACAGTTCAAATACCTGTATAACAAAGATGTTTTGATGCTCTTGTGATCAAATGCCCTGTTTGTATAAATTATCTGATTAAAGATAAGCATGACTTGATAATACGATTAGAAGAATAAAAAGGAAAAATAATAGGCTGAATATCACACCCACATACACACACACACACACACACATTTTTTTAAATGGAAGACCTCTTTTAAAGTAGTGAGGGCATTATATGGGTATTAAATGAAATCTGCAGCCTATGTATTCACAATATATTTCCTTTCAGACTTCAGTAGAGTGCTGAGTATCATAAAACACTGCACAGCATTGTAGTGAAACAGAAACCACAGTGAGTGGTCAAAATATGAACACAAAAATTCATAACAGAAATGTGTGACCATCTTAGAACAACAGTACTAGAGTCACTGGGATATATATGAAGAAGCAATTTACCAGGAAAGAAAAAGAAAAGTAGAAAAAGTATCTTTACAAAAACACAAAAGACATAAAATTACTGTCCTGAATAAGCATGGTATACTTGTTAAAAGATATCAGAAGTTATACAATGACATTTCTCATTTTCTCCCAATAATAGTTGTTGAAAGACATTAAAAGAAACAAATGCATAATTGAAAGAGAAAAAATTAAAAATAAATTATATTATTATCTATGAACTGCCTTTCCTAGTGTGGGTTTGGCTCATCCCTTTTCGTCCTCATCAAAATGCTGTCCAGTATGCAGTAGCAGTTCATGAGTCACTTTTGCACATAAAATACTAAATAGCTCCAAACTGATCTTAAATCTCAGGTGTGTGCAAAAATGCCTCTTTCAGCTATTTTGGTCTGTTTGATAAAATTAAGAAAACATAACTTATTGCTAGAATGTGTATGTGAGACATTAGTACTTATAAAACAAAACAACAGCAAAAAAGTTCTACATCAAACTATAGCACCATGACTGGCAAAGTGTGTCTGATAGAAAACATAGCACTATGTGCCAAACCTATTGTGTGCCATCTTGGCTTACCAGTTTCAGAGGAGACAAATAAACCTTTCTTTTACTGCAATGAAAATAAGAACTTGAAGCCTAAAAATTAAATCTTGAAGTTTTCATACCATCATTTAAAATATTAATGAAGAGAGAATGGCTGGAAAATGGACTTGCTATAACTTGAGGCTTGGTTTTCTATTACCAAAGAATATAGTAAGCCTAAGAGATGAAAGAAGATGCTTTGGAAGGAAAGAATCACTTGGAAGATACAACCGTTCACAATTCATAGAAAGTCCCTATTGTCACGAAGCTGAAGTTTGTTAGCAAGAGAAACAGAAGAAAGAAGAAGGATTCTATATCTATAGACCACTGTCAAGTTGAGTACAGGATTTCCTTCCTCCCTTCCAGAATCCTACCAGGGATCTTTCCTGGGGCAGAAAGAAAATGGAAAAAGTCCTGAGGTAGGAGTACTGGTCTTTTATTCACCTTGATTTTATTTTGGTATATGATACAATTTTTAATCTTATATTCGTTTTTATTAAACTGCTTATATTACTTTATGAACATCTATAACTGTTGTCTAATTGTATCCTCCTCCTCCTCCTCCTACCTTTTTAAAAAAATATTCCCTCTGCCAATCCTTGAGAGGTTATCTGACCCCTCTGCTTTTTCAGAACCTGTATAGATGACTACATGATTTCCTCCCCTCGGAAGATCTTATTACGGGTGGATAAATTTCCTACGACTGAATCATTCTTGGAATTTTGGTAATAAGCCAACATGGCCAAGTGCAGTTCATTCCAAGAATTAAATGGTTGGATGCAAAACAATGTTTCAAGCACCCGCTAAAAATTCAGGTGGAAGTATCCAGCAGAGTCAGAATTCTGTGACTCTTGTTCAAGAAAGAGGTCAGAGAATTACATATTTGGGAAGCATTAAAAAATTGAACCCTGAAGCTGTGAGGATGGATGCAAGTACCAGAAAGGGTAGTAGGAATCACACAGAAGGCTCAAGACAGTTTGGAGAAAGTCCAGGGCTGTCAGGGTCTGTTTAGGAGACACCAACAGTATCTTTTTTATACTAATGCAATGTGTATGCTGCTGTGAAACAAGGCAAAGACATTTCTGGAAAAATAAGGAGCTATTAGTAATTTTTAAAAATGAAATATTAATAAGCAAAAGATTCAGGTAAGGGCAGGGAAGAGAGCTGTTGATAAAGGAATAGATCATAAAAACAACAACATACAATCTCTAGCTTTCCATGAGGAAAGAAAGAAAATAGTTTGCCTGGGCCCTTGCTTATATAAGAGACTCTTCTAACTGTCCTTTGTAAAGTAAAGGGGGCAAATCTTAATTAATCAAAGTATAACTTCTCTAACCATTTTCTGATTTTTTTCTCCTTCTGACATACATTTTTTCTAATATACATTTTAAGTACCACTTATTTATTTGCTCTACTTTGAACTCTAACTAGGTATGTGTTTAATTTTTGCTTCTAAAATGAGAAACAACCCTGTCTTTAAGTAGTAGAAAAAGAAAATTCTTCAGAGTTTCCTTTCACAAAAACATATTCTCACTGACTCACATATTCCTCCAGAAACTCCAGATCTAATTTAAATGCTAAGTATATTAGAAGTACACAGCAAAAACAAGCAACTAACCATCTTTTATCATATCCTAAAGAAAAAGTATAATATCTAAATATTTATATAATTATAGCTCAAAGTACAATTCATTGCAAGTTGAAATGAAAACTACCTCCAGCAAAAGGAATGTCAAATCAAAATGTAAATCTAAAATAAACAGTAGATGCCTTAAAATAAAGCAGCGCTTGGACAATTTCACTGAAGGGCTGCTGCCAGTGGTGGGGAGCGGCAGGCTGGGAAAAGATTAGTCTGACAGGTTCATTTCAGGGGTTTGCTACATTCCTGCTGATTATGCCTGGCTTTGCAAAATAAGACCCCACCCCTAGTGAATTCTAGGTCTGCTGGGCACGAGACACACGTAAGACTATGCAGGAGATGTCAACAGAACACAAAATAGAATATGGAAAAATACTGTAGAATAACATCTTAAAAAGAAATGTCTCTTTTCTTTTTCACCCATCATACACCAAAGAAATAAAGGATCCAAGGGGAAGAGAGCTAGAGGATAATAATGGAAACAACTGCATTTCAGTGTGCGATTCTGACAGGCAGAATAAACAAAGACAGCCTTGGGATGGTGAGAAACAGTGCAAAACACAGCCTCAAGAGAATGCAAAGGAATATTATATCCGATAAGATTAAAAGTGCCACTGACTCTTCTAACTCAATATTAAGATGACAGTTGCTTAAGTGGAAATGGTACTTCAGTCTCAATGGGAGCTAACAGTTCAGACTGCCTGATGTATGAGATCAGGGAACATTTTATAGGCGAGTAAGTCCTGGGAATGAAGTATCTTTGAAGGACTAAGACTCCAAAAAAGTGACTCACACACAGTAATTAAAGGAGATCTGATGACACTGAAAGCACACAGGTCGGAGGATTTCTCAAAGGATAATGTCATCTGAAATGAAAGACCTGAAACTATGTGTGTGGATGACATGTTGAAAAGAGAGACGTCTAGGTCTAAATTCCGGAGTTCTAAGCAAAATTTCTCCTCACTGCACGGGGTTGTTTGGGATTTATGGGCTCTTTTAAGTAACATCAGACCATAATCATGGCCACGAAATTCTCTAAGAACGTGACCTAGGGGAGAATGTCATTTACTTCTCCATTTTTCCCTTCCAAGTGGATATCCAAGTCTGCATGTCAAATTTTGATTCTTCTGCCAGACTTAGGACATGGAAAGATTCTGAAGAACACACATAACCAAGTAGAGAAACCAGCAATTTTGGAGATATTCTTGTATATATAACCAGCTCCAAATTACCATTGGAAATGGCAGGAACAATTCTTTTTAGCTAAAGTATTCAGTAGAGGAATACTAAGACCACAGATAATTAACCTACTGAAAAAAAAAAAAGAACTGACTTGCAAGTTTGGATCTGAAGAACTTTGGCAATCTAGAATTGTTGCCTATATATATATTAGGGATAACCATTGTTAACTTTCTTTTTTCCTCCCAATGTAATCATGTTATACACTGTAAATAGCTTAGTATGCATACCATGGGTATTTTTACATGTTATTAAACAATTTTCTTAAGCAGCCATTTTTAGCCTGGGCTTTAAATTATAACCTGTGGAACTTGGTAAAAATACAAGTGCCTAGAGTCAATCTAGACCAGTCCCTCCTCGCCTCCCCCATCAACATCTCAGTCAATTCTCCAGCACTTATTCCCAGGTAAGTATATCATTTAAAGGTTTCACAAGTGAATCACCAGCAATTCTGACTATAGTTCCCATTTATAGTGATGGAATATACTCTATTATGTGAGCATAGTCTGAGTTTATCAACTCATCTTAGTTAAACTGGGATTGTACTGCTCCTTTAAATGTACAGGACAAACAGTAAAAGCAGGTTTCTTTTAAAATAAATTCATAAAGAATTTCTAAAGATAAAAATTAGTTGATATTTTAGAATTATTTTATTCAACAAGACCACTGCAACTCTGTATTATATCATGTAATTTTAGCTGTATCACCCAAAATCATTTTAGTGCTGAGATCTGAGGCAGGCATAGGAATTCTCTAGCAATTGTGTTCCTATCAATGATGAAGAGTCAGTATTCTAAGACTGTTTGTGTTTTCAAGCCATATTTAATATTGAGAGAATTGGGAAGGTCTGAGGTTCAAGAAAATATAATAAAAAAGATATGTCATGATTTAAAAACACATAAGCCCTAAAATCTTACTATCAACATTGAGTTTAGGATACAATCAACCTTAATATTCATAATCTTGCAGTTTAGCCAAAAAGGTACAGACAAATGTAAAGCTCACAGCACCATAGTCTATTTTCCAG